TCCTGCTCCTTAGGTCCACTGACCTACTTACTTAGTTGTCTAATCCGCTTAGAAGCCGAAAGCCCTTCTTTTCGAGGGGTATACCTTTATCTGAGCTTGGGGATTCTCAGTTCCAGGTATATCCCCCAGTCGAAGCCTTAACTCCGTAGGCCCGAACCCTACCTGGGGTGAAGAGAAGTTTTAGGGACCATGTAGAGTTTAGGGTTTAGACTTCCAGGTTTGGGGGTCAGGTTGAGAGTTTTGGGGTTCACGATTTTTGTTATGGAGTCTAGGTGAGATGCTGGGGCCTATTCTTGACGCGCCGTGTATTAGCCGAAGCTCCAGCTGTGAGCTATAAAACTGTGACACTCTCGCTATACCTAAGGAGAGAATATGTGTTTTTGCACTTGCTACCAATGCCCCCAAAATCTTCTGCTGCGAGTGTTGACGACTATGGTCACTGATTGTGTTTCGGGGGGTTCTACAACAACCTCCAGATCCGCACCAGCGGCGCTGATGCTCGAGGAGGTTGCCACGGAATCCCTTTGGTGCGGATGCCTGCAACGCGATGATTTCGGTTCACGGCTCCCCAAGCACCAAACAGCAATTCTCAACTCTATCCTATACCCCTTCTCGAACCCTAAAACTTGGAACCCTTAAACAGGAACCCTTAGGGGTTACCCCTAAGGCCCCGAGCATCCCTAGGGTTCGGTGCGCGTGGGCTTAGGCATTGTCCCTGCTCTTGCATTCGGTTCGGATCTTGCGGTAGGTGCGTTGCCTGACATTTTTCCATGCCAGGATTGTCTCAGCAACAGACCCAAACAGCGATGGAATAGCACACAAATTGATTCAATTTGGTGTTATCCAGTCAAATCCTGGAAGTCAGAACAGTTGCAGCTGGAGTCTAGAGTGTGGACGCTGTGTGATATAACTTGTTTGTCGGTACCCCCCCCCCCCCCCCCCCCCCCCCCCCCCCCCCCAACAGGGGAATTAAAGTTGTATCTTCAGGGTTCGACAATGGATGCCAAAGCAAACCCTTAGAAGGAACTAGAGAACGATTGTCCCGAAAACGCAACTTCTTGATAAGACGAAACCTCAAGAAAACACGAATCATCCCAGTCATCATCCAAGGCATCCCCTAAATTCTTCTTAAAACCTTCAAAGCCTAAGCCCGGAGAAGTGGGGAGGCTTGAAAGTTTAATCTAAGAGTTTAAACTATTGGTTGCGGAGGCGAGCTAGAAGTTTATTCTAAGAGTTTACGATGCTGGTGACCCGGGGGAGGGTGGCGGGGGGGGGGGCAACTAACCAACTCGCCCGGCAAGAGCTTATTTGTCCAGAAAAAACAAACGTGGGGACACCTTTGTTCAGGCCTAGAAACTGATGGGTGGGGGGGTTGAGGGGGGGAGCAACTAGCTAACTCGGTCAGATTGAGATTGCTTGTCCAAAGAGAACAAACGTTTACGGCGTTATGACGAACTCGCCTGGCTCGAGTTAGTTTAACCAGGGAGAACAAACTAACTAACTCCCCGGGCTCGAGTTAGTTTAGCCGGAGAAAACAAACGTTGGCGGCAAACCTTTACTTCTGGCCAGGAGCCTAGGCATCGAAACGAATGCTTCGAATCACTGAGTGAACACTTAGTTTTGGGGCTCGGAAACTACAGTTTTGCACACACGTTCGTTTTGCTTTGTAGCGTAACACGACCCTATCGCAATCGTGATAGCGTCCGTAGTAGCAAAGTAGGAGTATGAGCGCCCTTGCGTCTGCCCTTCTAGTTTCGAGACCTTACTTTGCTTGTGCTGGAAACCATTTGTTTTGACACACAATTTCTCATCGAGAGAAGCATTTCCCAGAAACCCCGTTGTCCAAAACTATGTCTAAACTAACTTGAGTCTGCCCTATTTGTAAGCCCCAAACTCCCTTAAAGTCTCTTCTGTGAGCTGACTGTAAGCTGAACTTCTTCAAGCCCCTAAAATTCGTTGACGTGAGCTTCTTGAGGTGCCTAAACTCCCTTAACGTCTCTAAAGCCTCTCAGAGCTCATAAACTCCCTTAAAGTCTCTACTGTAAGCTTCTTGAGGCCCCTGAACTCCGTTAAAGTAGCCAAGCTGCTCGAAGCCCCTAAACCCCCCTAAAGTCTCTAGGCTTCTTGAAGCCTCTAAATCCCCTTCACGACTCTAAGTGGCTTGAGGCCCCGCCTAAAGTCTCTACGTTCTTGAGACCCATAGAACCAGCTAATATCTCTGCAGGTCCCTAAACTCCGAACTCTGCGTCTCTTGATACCCCTCACCTGAGCTTCTTGAGGCCCTTAAACTCCCTGAAAAGTCTCTAAGTTTCTTGACCCACCTGAATTCCCTTAAAGTCTCTAAGCTCCTTGGAGCCTCGAAACTGCCTCAAAGTCTCTAGGCTTCTTGATGTCCCGAAACAACCATTAAACATCTCGACTGTAAGCTTCTTGAGGCCCTCAAACTCTGAAACTCCCCCCCTAAGACGCCTGCAGATCCAGCTTCTACAGTCACGCGCGCACACGTCCTTTATGCTCTCGGGAACCCGTGACCCGACACCCCACCTTTGCTTTATAGTTTGTTAGCATGTGGTGATACCTCAAAGAGAGGCCTGTACAACCACATGGCCAGCGTGACCCAACATGATGAGCATGCGTGGCCAGCCCTTGGGGAGTGGCCCTAGGTCTCGCAAGTGTGAGTGGCCACCACCGCTAATAAAGAAACAGGCTCTTTAGGCACACTATCCCAGAGCCCTTAGTTACTGCACCGGCTGAGAGCCCAGGGTTTAGCACTGCTGTTGTCCGATATGTCCGATCTTGGGTTCGAGATTAGCTTGGTCGGGCCTCCTCCATGTCTGCATAAGGGATGGATGACTGAAATATGCCACCCCAGTCGATTGGTGACTTCCTTAGTATCGTCTTCGGGTTTGGGGGCCCTTCGACCTTCTGAGGCCCGGGCTGGGTCGTTTAGACTGTGTTCAGGCCCCCGAACACCCCCTAAGGCGCGTGGAAGCACAGGATTGGTGCCCTGAACCCTTAACCCCAAACCCAAGCATTCGAAGGTTGTGGGCTTGGGGTCGCAGACCGTCAAACGAAAGCTGAGAGACCTGATTTAACGATGATGTGATGAGGCAATGGTCATGATGATGATGATGATGGGCGATTGTGGTAATGATGATGGTGAGGAATGATGGTGAGGAGCATGATGATGATTAAGGGAAAACGCCCGGCTTGGCTACCAAACCCGGCTGGTTTTGTCCCCCAGGCGTTGATGCTTTGGCATTGGTGCCGAGGCAACCCTAAACCCAAAACCCAAAACCCATAGAATTGCTGCTCTGAATGATTGTCCCCGATCAAAGTCTACTACCACAATGAGAAGCCTTGATATGTTCTTCGTGCTGCAATTCTTTCACTCGTTGCCGGGTGTGTTTCGAAACCCCTTGGTTAGCCCCATCCTGCTCGAGTACAGTAGTTCAGGGTTTAGGGAGGGTTCCCTTCTGATCATCCGATCCTATGATACTTCTTGAAGCAAAGCATGAGTATACACGCGTCGGCCCTAAAGCCCCTCACTAAACCGGTAACACTCGGAAGGGCGGCGGGAATGAGGCACCCAACAGAATCCCTAAACAGGTGGGTCCTAGATCGTGAAGCCTGCGATTATTCGAGTCCCCAAGTACCGGCCCCCCGCCACACTGCTGCGGAGAGGCTTTTTCGAGCCCAGCAGCTGCGCTAGGTTCAACTTCTTGTCCTCTGTCAGCGGTGGGTCTTATGAGGGCAGCTATTCAGGCCCCAACAGTGGGATTGAGGTATGGAGGTAGGTGAGGAACCTCAACTAAGAGCCCTTGCACAATGGATCCTCAATCCTGTCACAAACCCTAAACGCCAGAGCCCCCAAAACCCCAAACTTTTGAAACCCTAACCCTAAACCCCTCAAAACCCTTTTTCCCGAAACTTTTTGTAGGCTTCAGCATGTAGGGGTATCTAAGGCTGGGGGCTTAGGATTGGCTGTAGGATGCCGGATCGTGAGGACTTAACGCACAAGTCGCAAGCAGCTCCACAGTGGAATGGCGGAAGAGGGCGGGTATGAGCTCTACCACAGAAACCTGTTGGAGTTTACCGGGTCTCGTTCTCAGGTTTGAAACACCTTCAACCCTACGCCGGTTTATGCGCGATTGAAGGGGGTTAGGGTCGCGGTGGCAGCAGAGCCATCATGGCCAGTGGGAGTCTGGGGTTGAACCCCATTGACATGGTTAGGTCCGTCTGGCCGAGATTGGTGGGCAATTAAAGCGTCTGATTTTAGAAACGGAAGAGGCCACTATGAGTCACTAATGTGGTAAGGACTTCAGGAACTAAGCCCTTTTAGCCATGGATCTCTGACACAGATCGAAATTCTTGTATCAATAGGTGCCGGTGCTTGTTTATGACTTGCCATTGGAGAAAACAACCCTCAGCCGTTTTGCAACTGGACTGCGAATGACTGCCAGGAAGAACAAGACACCACAAAGAAGTTACGAGTGGTCTCTATGTCTAGAAAGACTGAGGATCTGTTTGAGGCCTGAACTCTGCAACCTGGACCCAAAAACCCTAAACCCTGTGTCCTTTATAGGCTTCTTAAGGGAGGTGGCGGGAAGTAGTAGGGAACCTTGGGTCACATATCTCCCTTCAACCCCACTCCCTTAAGAACCCTATAAGTCCTTGGTCGCACGAAGCTGCTCTAAATCCTGGCAGCTCTGACGAGCGAGGGCAGGCGCTGGGCGCTGAGGGTTTCGGTGGTTTAGGCTTTGGGTTGTTTTGGGGTGTTTAGGGAGAGAGGGTGTGGGTTAAGGGCTGAGGGCTTATAGGGCTCAAGGATCTCTTCGGGATAAGGAGTTTAGGGTTTGACGTTTCCGACTCAGGGTTGAAGATACGAGGGAGGCATGCAGATACGAGGGAGGCATGCGGATGCAAGAATTTGGGGTATTTTAAGGTACCAAAAAAGCCTTGAACGCGGGAATTAGTTCCACTCAGTGGGCACAGCTACCCTAACAAGTCCCAGAAACCAAAGTCCAAAAGTCTTTCAAACCGTAGCACCTCGGGTTGTCGTGGAAGGGTTCAGGGCCTGCAGGGCACGAGCTGTGCTGAAGTGCCTGAATCTGCACGCCACCCGTCGGTGCGCGGATGATGTGGAGGCCACCATAGCGCGGCTTGCCTTGGGTTCCCCAAAAACCCAGACATTTGCAGCAAATCCTGAGTTGTTGAAGTGTTTTTGATTTTGGGCTGGCTGCAAAGGATGGTTTAAGGCTGGCTTTAGGGAATATTTTGTAGTGTAGTTGCCTTTTCGGATCAATAATTTCTTCGGGGTACTTGCCCTGATGATGATCCCAGGTGCACTCCGACAGCGCGTCCAAGATCTGGGCTATCTTCTCCTCAGCGTCAAGTTGGCCGTACACCTGCCCGGGCATATCTCGGGAGGAGGGCCCAAGGGACACGGGTTTGTCGAATTTGGATCCCTTTCTTTACTGGCAACTCGAAGAAGGATCCGGTGATTCAAACTTCGTGTACCTGCAGTAGCTGGGTCCCGCAAGTTTTTGGAAACCCCCGGGATGGGACTACCGTCTGGGATTGAGGGATGCAGATTTCGGACTCTATAAAGCCCCGATATTGGATCTGCCACCATGGTTCCGGCTCAAAGCTACCCAGCCTGACTGCCCTGCTGCCGCCCTCCCTCATAGCCCTGTTGCATGCTCACGAAACCCTGACGGCTCACGGACAAAATCCTTCATGCCCATGAGTTATATGGTAGCTTTCATTGCCGTCTTTGCAACCGATTGCAGTATAAGTAGGGTTTGGGGGTTAGGGACATACTAGATGTATTCCACAACTGCAGAAACAACGAAACCGTTCGAATCAGGTTGTATACCGAGGTCCGGGTGCATCTGCTCACCGTAATGTCCCTAATCTCCTACTCCGAACGCGTTTTGGCTCGAGGGGCGGGGTCTGGTATTTTGCGCCCAGCCTGGATGTCCAGAGGTACCTGGGCCAGTGGCGGGCGAAAGCAACTATGACCATCAAGTCATGACAAGATGGGAACGCCGCCGGAAGTTCTTTGCGTGAACTTGCCATGTTCCACCCGAGAACCATGACCCTCAACACCTGAATCCAATCCCCAACACCCAAACCTCAATCCGAACAGCTCAACACTTCGGCCCTTTAAGCCCTTTAAGCCTACACACTACACCCTGCGAATGGTACCTTGATCTTGTTGTCTGCCCCGGAGGGAACCACCCCCTCCACTTGCACAGACTCATCTTTCTGGATGAGGGGGAGCCTGGGTCTGCATTTCAGGGGCCTTCAGGGGTTTAGGGTTTAGGTTTCGGGCAGATGGGGTTTGGGGCCTTTACAGGGGCTAGGGGTTTAGGGGTTCGGGGCGGGGTAAGGTTTCGGGTGTAGAGCAGCTCCCGGTCTCTGGCTAAATGATCTTGTCTATTAGGCTTTATGGTATTGTATAGGGTTCCTCTAGGGTTTAGGGTATAGCGCATAGAGCTTCGTTCGGATCCTTGCGGCCCCTCATGGTAGATATGTCGGTTGCAATCAGTGAAAAGGCACGGTTGAGGTGGGGCTCTAGGATCGAGGATGTAGGTTTAAAGTTCATTTGAGTCTCTATACAGCCCTAAACTCCCGTTGGTTGCAAGATACCTTTGAAATGAAAAGGAAACACGAAATCCTAAACCCCTGTCCCAGCATGGAGGGCTCCTTCTCTTGACAAGTTTCTGTAAACCTAGGGGTCCTCAAAAGGATATCCGCATGAGCCTTCCGTACAGTGATATCCCTGCCTTGTATACTGTCAATGCGGGTTATAGGCTTTTTGGGGCGCCTAAACTTTTGGCAACCAGAAAACTATTCCAAATACACAGGTGGCTTATTCGGGCGAGGGCTATCGTTTTGCTGTTAGGCTTTTCTAGCCACTCTCTTCTATGCAAGCTCAAAACCCGGAAAGAAACAAACGAAGTCGCGAGCTTCATGCTCGTAGCGAGATAATGAGACCAGAAGCAGCACAGGCGAGATCTCTTTCGGCAGCCAGCCAACCTGAACAAGGGCTCAAGCAATGGGCTGATCTACATTAGGGGTTTAGGATTTGTTTTAAAGTGCGCATCCTGTAGTACTTTGGTTTTGGAAGGAAGGACCTTGAAAGCGAACCTTCAGGCCCTAGGCCTTTTCGGCTGGCAAGGACAGCTCCTTACAAAACACGCCAACCACCCTGAAACCTTGAGGCCATGCTCCTGTACCCACACCCTACGCCCGAAACCTTCAAACCCTCAGCCCTCAAATCCTACAACCCCCAAGTCACCGAAGCCCTATAGGATCGCAGGTGCAACGCCCGTTGCGACATAGCCTTGCTAGCTCGGACAGTGCGTCATGTCCCTAACCCCTGATTCCTAAAAGCTCCATACACCAGAACTGACATCCTGATCCCTACCAGTACCATTTTGGCATCCAGGCTTGGGTGAGCCTGCCGGGAAAGAGATCATGCTGCCCAGGTTCGTTGCAAACCCATCGCAGACACTACCAGTACCCTACAACCCGGAACCTCGAACCCTCAATGCCGAACCCGAATCCCTCAGTCTCTACATATTCGAACATATTTGAACCCTAAACACCCGAAGTCGCAACAAAAAGGGTCAACCGTGAATCCAAAGCTCTCAAGGATTTCTCCAACACTTCAGCTCTAACTCTCAGCTTCATGCATCAGGCCAGCAACTTAAACAACACGACCTATCGACCTTCAACACCGAAAGCCTAACACCCGAAATTCCGAAATCACTTCGGACACCCTTATCATTATAGAAACCCGGCTAAGGGCCCAAGTAAGTCTTTAACACAACAAAACACAAAATGATGCTCTTGTACAGAAGACGTATCAGGCCCTTATACAACACACTGTAAAAATCTCATGAAGAAGGCCCTGACGTGCTACATAACACCCTCAACCCACTGCAAAGCACCCCTAGACCCTAAACCCGAAACCCGAAACCCTAAACCTTGAACCCTGTTCCCCAGAACATGAGCTGCCTGGATGCCTTCCGCGTTGATGATCTTCTTACCTTCAAAGGCGATCTCGCAGTCCTTCTTTACTTGGCCTGGACTGCCCACACAGCTGGTAAATGTTTAGTATTCATGTGCTTTGTAGGTTACGTTTAGGGGCCTTTGAAGTTGTAATGATGCTTTTTATGGCTGTCATATGGGCTTTAAAACTACAAGCCAAGAGTTTTATAATGTGTCGGGTGATTTCGTGAGGGTTTGATGTCGGGTTTACATATCTGATCAGGAGAGTTTGTAGGTAGAGTTACGTTATAGGTGCAACATTGATTTGGGTTATTTCGGCTAACAAGTCTACTGATCAAACTTCTGACATCTTGAGTGCACGGCTTGAGGGTTTAAAGGTAGGCGCTGACTTGGGCCGAGCTCATAAGAATTGTCCATGTGTTTCTCCTTTCAGATTTCACGGGGCTGTTTTCCACGTATCTGCCGATCTATCGTTCTACTGTCTTTACCCGGATGACATCGACCATACCTGGCCGCGTGAAGAAAACGCACTTGCAGATTTACAGTCGGCAGAAGGCATCAGGTGCATGTAGGACGTGCAGCAAGTTGCAAATCCCGTTCCTGCACCCCATTCCCGACAGCGCAACCTGAACTGGGCAACATTCATTCGGCCCCGCCTTTGTAGTGAGCGACGCCCACAATGTGCGTTGAGATCTGCGCAAACCAGCGATCGACCTGGATTCCCTTCTTCTGCTCAACTGAATCAGCTTTGCGCTGAGACTCACCCTCCAGGCTTGTTCGAGCACGCTTGGGCGATGGAGGCGTCGCCGAAGTGTTGATGTCTCTCTTCTCCTGTGGGCTGGATTTGGGCGCCGGCACAAGAGCCAGCTTGAACTGAAAAGAGTGCGCGCCATGTAAGATCACGCGAACAATGCATTCTCCAGGTAGTGCACTGCTTTACCATCATGAATCAAGTCGAGATGTGCCTGTATTGAATCGTATTGGTAGTGAAATCGTCACCGCCACCGCCGCCGCTACCACCACCCCATCTCCACCTCCACCTCTACCTCCCACCAGCTCCAGCACCAAGCACAACCACCCCCCAACTAAACCTAGAACTACTACTACTACTGCTACTACTACTACTACTACTACGACAACTACTACTACTACTACTACTACTACTACTACTACTGCTACTACTACTACTACTGCTACTGCTACTGCTACTGCTACTGCTACTGCTACTGCTACTACTACTGCTGCTGCTGTTGCTACTACTCCTACTACTCCTACTACTACCACTACCACTACTACTACGACCACTACTATAACGACGGCACCAGCTGCTGCGACGACGATGACGCATGAGGAATGCGCGAAGATTCAAAAAGACGTGAACAATCTGAAGCGCGAAGGCTGAAAACCCCTGCAATTTAGGCTTCAAGATTCAATAAAGAGCAAAGAAAGCCAAAACTCGACAGAAAACAAGTGTGAGTTACGTAGATAAGCATGCATGCATGTTTTGCAACAAACGGTTGTAAACAACAAACACGACTTTGTCCGCTGCACTCGCGCTCCTACTCGTACTCCTACTACTCCTACTACTAGTCTCGGCTGCCTGCAGCTGCGAGGCGGGCGGCTTTGCCAAGGACCGTACACGTTGCATGTGCAGGGTGCAAGGACCAGAAAGCCTACATCCCAAAGCACAGAGATGCCAGCCTAAACCCGAAACCCTAGTTCCTTTCAAAAGATGTGCTTGTGAAGGCCGGGTTTTTGAGGGGTCAAAAGATGTCGTTGTGAAGGCTTCGGCCCTTTGCGAAGACACTCGGTTGAGAACCTCATCCTGGAACTCTTCACCGCATGAGTCAACAACACTCCCTCCACCGGTAATCTCCAAAACGCTGCGGGAATCTGCATTTCGCATGCAAGCCGATGTCCCTCAACCTGGATTTTCAGCTGCTCAACCCGAACACGGCACCATTCACACTTTCCATCCACTGTTGTATCTAGGCTGGGACATCTGGCAATCGATGCGCACTGGGAGGAACAACCTGGTCGTCGGAAGTTTTGGCGAACGAGGAGCATCGGCTTCCATTTTGCACAGCAAGTTCATGAGGCCTTTCGGCCGCTTTAAGTGTCGCGGGTGATCTGCTGTCTTTGCGGTGGCACGCAAGCAAAACGTTCTGCAACGGCAAGGGCGCTAACCAAGCCGAAGCAAGATTAAATTAGCAAGCTCGGGGCAAGGGCGTTGCGCCGTTGCTCACAAATCAAAACGGCACATGCGGAAAATGGCAATAAAACATAATGCGAAAGCATTCTTTCAATGTCACTTCTTGTGAGTGCATAGCCCAGGAAAATTGCTTTGTCTTCCGTCTCAAGCTCAGCTGACAAACGCTTCAATGTCGGGCTGTCTCCT